ATGAATAGGAGATTAGGACAAACTTCTGGACAGAGAACCAGAATTGTTCATCCTTGATGGATGGAGTGAAGTGGCCACGAAGGTGGTCATGAAGGTGAAAAAGAGATCAGAGTAAAGCCAGGAGCCCTGAAGCTCCAAGGTTATCATTATTGTTAAGTGCTGTTGAGTAGGTTCCCAGGCTTTTTAAAATCTTTGCGGAAGTAGAAAGCCTCATCTTTCTCCTTGTGAAGTGGCTGGTGGGTTCAGACTACTGACCTTGTGGTTTGAAGTCCATTGTTTATCCTATGGAGGAAGTTTATTGATATATGCACATAGAATGTGAATGGTGGTTATCTGTGAGGTTGGAGAGGATTATAGATGAAATAGGTGATTCTGATTTCCTTATACTTTTCTGGGGTTTTTGCCATCAAGTTTTCTTGAGCTTTTTTACTTCCAGATTTTTTTTTTTTAAAGAAATGTGAAAGATAGAAAAAACACACAAAAAGTAATGTAACAAATGCCCCTATTCACACCATTCAGAATTTATCATTGTAATCATACTTTTTAAGAAAAAGTCTTAAAAGCTGTAGCTAACATCTGCTTTAACCACCTCTTTTCTTACGCACATGTATATACATGCATCTGTCATGGTGCCTTGCATGTCACTGTAATGCTGAAAGCTATGCCACCAGAATTTCAAATACCAGCAGGATTACTGTTACAGTTAAGGATTTTTGTCAACTTGACTGAGACTGGGTCATCACTGGTTTAGCAGTTAAAATATATTAATCCATGATGTGATTAATATGATGTAATCACTCTCCATGATATGCTTTGCTGCGACTGGCTCTTATCTGATATAATTATCCTATGTGCTATAAATCCTCACTTCTATAATGGTTATGAGACCAGATGCAATCTAAAGGATTAGGTTGTATTTTGAGACAATCTCTTTTGAGATATAAAGGAGTTTAAACACACCAGCAGAGTTCACAAGGACCTACTACTGTAGAAAGAAGAGCCACATGTAGAGTGCTTTCTTTGACCTGAGATCCCTGTACTATGAAGCTCCATGGAAAGACTGATGTCAAGATGTAAGGAGAGCGCCAACTAATGCTGAGCCTACAGACACTTAATGGAAACAAGGACCTTTCTCCAGGGCCAGTGCTTCTAACCTCCTGTGACAGAAGAGATTTATGTTTGTTAAAGCCATCCACTTGTGGTATTTCTGTTGCAGCAACAGTAGAGAATTATGAGTCAGCATGACCGAAAAAAAAAAAAAAAAGTTTCAGGTGAATCTTATGTTATCATAACAGAACATTGTCCAACTCAATTGCTTTGGACATGTCATGCTATCAGAAGGGATCCATTGCTGGAAGAGGACATTGTCTTTGGTGAAGTAGAGGGCTAATGAGGGTGACCGTCAGTAAGATGGACTGGCACACTAGCCACAGTGATGAATCCAAAAATGCTAACAATTGTGAAGATGATGCAGGACCAGATAGCACTGCATTCTGTTTTGCTGTATATGAGTTAAAATCAGTTGTATGGCAGCATCTACATATCTATCAACAGCCAAAATGAAACCAAACCCATTACTGTGTAATTGATTCTGACTCATAGTGGCCCTCACAGGGTTCCCAAGGCTGTAAATATTTACAGAAGCAGGCTGCCACATCTTTCTCCCGTGGAGTGGCTGGTGGGTTCAAACCACTGAACTCTGGGTTAGCAGCTGAGTGCTTAACCACTGTGTCACCAGGGTGTCCTATCTATCTACAAATATACATAAAATAGGATATGCTAGGGTTTTTGGGTTTTTTTTTAATTGACATGGAGATACTGCTATTATAAAGGAGGAGATGAGAGAAGACTTTTTTTAGAGAAAAAAGGGGTTGCAGCCTGAAACTTGGATGTCTGGTCCACCTCCCCAGCTGAGCAGTCCAGTGGGGAGGCCATGATCTGGGGGGACCAAGCTCCAGTTTGAGCATACTGGGCCACACCTGGTTGTTATATGTTCCAGGAAAAATTACTACTTACTTTCAGATCTCACAATTCATTGAAATTTCAGGAATCTGGGGAGTAGGGAAGGTTGTCTTTACTATTTTTTGACAGAAGAAGAAACTGAGACCCAGGGAGAAGCAGTAAACTGCTGGGGAGTGGCAATGAGTTGGTGGGCTAGACAAAGGATTAGACAAAAGATTGGAGTTCTGACCTGAGACTTTTTTCAGAACTCAGAGGCAAGAAAAGCCAGTGGTTCCGGTTGTTGGACTTTGGTCCTTGGCAATAAGGAAGAGATAGAGCAGTTAACTTCAGTTAGCCAAGGTTGGCTGATGGCCAAGAAATTGTGGTCTGAAGAGAAGCAGGTGGGACAGTTCTTCATCCTCAGAGACACCAGAGAGCAAGTACACTCCTAAAAGTCATTTTAAAGTGGCTCAGTAAACTGTAACTAGGCTTCATAAAGTTCCTACTATGTGCTCCTACTAGGCCTATAGTGTGTCTGTCCAAAAAATAGTCTAACTCAAAGCCAAAAAGAATCCAAGAAGCTGGTCTATATGAAGAACGCAGCATCATGATTGGAGGATGGCTCGTTAACAACCTGTGATATGCAAATAACACAACCTTGCTTGCTGAAAGCAAAGAAGAGTTGAAGCACTTACTGATGAAGATCAAAGACCACAACTTTCAGTATGGATTACACCACAACATAAAGAAAACAAAAATCCTCACAGCTTAACCATTAAGCAACATGATAAACAGAGATAAGATTGACTGACATCAAGGATTTCATTTTACTTAGGTTCACCATCAACACTTACGGAAGCAGCAGTCTAGAAATCAAATGGCATGCTGCATTGGGCTAATCTGCTGCAAAAGACCACTTTAAGGGTATTTTCAATCACCTCATATGTGAAAGCTCGACAAGGAATAAGGAAGACCACAGAAGAACTGATGCCTTTGAATTATGTCAGTGAAAAAATATTGAATATACTCTGGACTACTAGAAGAATAAGCAAATCTGTCTTGGAATAAACAAGAATAGCAAGATTTCATCTCAAGTACTTTGATATATATATTATCAGGAGGGATCTGGTGTAGCACTGTGAGGATAAGCTCTGGACTGCAAGGTAGGTTTGAACCACAAGGTCCGTGGTTCAAACCCACCAGCCACTCCTCAGAAACCCTATACAGGGTCATTATGAGTTGGAATTGACTCCACAATAGCATGATTGCAAAGGTGGTGATAGTACATTCTGTTGTACTTAGGGTCACTGTGAGTCAGAACTAACTTGATGGCACCTAACAACAAATAAAAAATAAAACCAATTGCTGTCAATCATCAATTGATTCTGACTCATAGTTCTACTACAGGCCTGCCCCACAGGGTTTCCAAGACTGTAAATCTGTTTTGGAAAACTGGCCACCAGCTTTTCAGTTTGTAGTCAAGCTCTTTAACTACTACGCCATCAAGTTGTTGTTGTTGTCAGGGGCCATAGAATCGGTACAGACTCCTCGTGACCCTATGCACAACAGAACGAAACAGTGCCCAGTCTTGCGCCAACCTCACAATCATCACTATGTTTAAACCCATTGCTGCTGCCACTGTACTAATCCATCTAGTTGGGGGTCTTCCTCTTTTTCTCCTACTCTCCACTCTACCAAACATATCCTTCTCCAGTGACTGGTTCCTCCTGGCTTCCAAGGAGTACTTCTTCCAACACATATGTTGTTGTTGTTGTTAAGTGCCATCGAGTCGGGTCCGACCCATAGCGACCCTGTACAGGATTTCCGAGGGTGTAAATCTTTACAGGAGTAGAAAGCCTCATCTTTCTCCCGCGGAGCGGCTGGTAGTTTCGAACCGCTGACCTTA